AGTCTGTCCATTGTCATTTTACATTTCCATGGCTTGAGCTTGCTGCTATTGGAGCTGAGGATGCAGGTTAGACTATGGGGATGGAGGTTATCACACAGCACTTGTAATGACCCTTCCCTCTTTTGTAGGCAGTGCCTATAAGTCCAGCTATATCTGGGCTACGTGCTCTTCTTTCATATCTAATCTCTTCTGTTTAAAACACTGCCAAGAGAGGAAAAGTAGAGCAGTGATTAAGATTATTGACAAGGAAAAGAACTATTATCTGGAATCTCTTAGTCTGAAGATAAGAATTAAGTATAAATTATTTGTTAAAAACAAGTCATGGTATGAAATGAAAATGCTCTAAGTATTAGAAAAGAAATGCTGCTTCATTTACTATGAGTGCAGCCAGGGACGGCTTAAATTAAAAAGAAGAGTTAAAATTATTTAGCATTTATCTGATCTTGTCTTGTCAAATCTAGGAGTACAATACAAGGCTTTAAGGCAATAGGAGCTCATTCATGAGTGCATTTTTTGAAAATGAGGTTTACTGAAAATGAAGGCAGAGGCACGAGACAGCCAATTTAGTACACCAGACATTGTCCATCTCTCTTATTACATGAGATACTTAATTATACTTAAGATGTAATTATAATATTTAATAATGTTGAAAGTTTTATTATGGTTTCTTATCTGTTATTAAACTAAGAGGTTATTAAATGGAGAAGCAGAGGCCATAAAAGGTAAATACTCATTGTGTCCCAGCCATTAGACCTGGTGTTCTCTTCCTTTCTGTGTATGCCATTGCTCCTATGTTAGAGCTTGAAGACAGGATTAAGTATATAATTCTTTTTGCCATGACATAATGCATTGTATAGAATTTAGGAATGGAACTTACTTCATTTTATTATTTTTTATTTAAATTAAAACAATTTTATTTTACATACCATTCCCAGTTCCCTCTCCCTCCCATACTCCCATTCTCCCCACCAGCCCCCATTTCACACTCCATCCCCTCCTTAGGGAGGGTGAGGCCTCCCAAGGGGGATCACAAAAATCTGTCACATCATTTGGGCAGGTCTTAGCCCTTCCCTGTGTATCTAGCCTGAAAGAGTAACCCTCAATGGGGAATGGACTCCCAAAGCCCATTTGTGCACTAGGGATAAATACTGGTTACACTGCCAGAGGCCCCATCCATTGCCCAAGCCCACCAACTGACACCCCAGTTCATGGGGCCTGGTTAGGTCTTATGTTGGTTCCCAAGCTGTCAGACTGGGGTCCGTGAGCTCCCCCTAGTTCAGGTCAGCTGTTTCTGTGGGTTTCCCAGCATGGTCTTGACCCCTTTACTCATCACTTCTTCCTCTCTACAACTGGATTCCAGGAGTATGTATGGCTCAGCGACTTCTGTGAATCTGTTTCTGCTTCTATTAGTCACTGGATGAAGTCTTTATCATGGCATTTAAGGTATTCATCAGTCTCAATATAGGGAAAGGGCATTTAAGATAACCTCTCCACTATTGCTTAGATTCTTAGTTGGGGTCATCCTTGTGGATCCCTGGATATTTCCCTAGTGCCAGATTTCTCGTTAAACCCATAATGGCTTCCTCTATTAAGGCATCTCTTTCCTTGCTCTCCTTTTCTGTTCTTCCCCCAACTCGAGCTTCCCGATCCCTCCTATTCTCCTCCCTTCTCCTCTTCTCCCCTCCTCTTTCTCCTACTTGCCCCCACCACATGCTCCCAATTTGCTCAGGAAGTCTGCAGTTTACAGGATTCTTACCATTACCCTTGTCTGGCCCCATCTGTCTGCCTAGATAATGTGGGAAAGTCGCTTCTCTGGCCCCATCTCCTGTCTGAAGACCTTACTTCCAGATGAGAGAAGCTTGTATTGCTGCAGAGGTGGAATAAACAAGGGCCTGGCGTGACATTCTTCTTCCAGTTTCCAGAAGTTGAGATCTTTATTATGAAAACCAACCTTCTCAGATCATCTTAACTTACCCCAAGGCTTTTTTTCTCCACAAAGTTCCAGAAATCAAAAGGGAACACAGATGTTGTAGGTGAGACTGAGAAGGACAATTATCAGGCAGGTATAGAGAAGGAGTCCAGAACGGAGAGAACTAAGTGTGGGACATGTCCTCGAGAGTGTATGCCTTGTAAAGGGCAAACACTGAGAAGTCAAAATCAGGATCTCATGGGATCTAAGCATGAAAATGTAAGGCTACTCTGTGATCATAGTGAACACAGATATGAGAAGAGTAAACACAGCTGGTATGAGAAAGGGTATCCATAATGCACTGTGTGTTATGGCCCAGTTCTCCCCAAGAGCTTTCCAAGAACTCAGTCTTATAAAGGAAGTTGTTCGACTAACCAAGGTCTAGAATTGCTGCCCAGTCTTTCTTTCTACTACCTGCTGGCTTTATTGGGGGACCCTGGATATACACAGGATAGAGAGGGTGTGGTCTATCCCCATGTCTACCTGAGACCCACTTGGGGAGAAGAGTTCCCCCAACAATTATGCACGCCAACAGGCAGAATTCAATACCTGGTACAGCACACCCAGAAACAGGGTGCACTTCAATCTCAAAGAATAAGATCATTAGGAGCAGACACATTTTATTATTAAACAACTTTAATCCAAATGCTGATTATTATTTGCAGTGTCTGAAGGCACAAAATATACCTAAAATGTATGGAAGAGTCTAAACAGAGTTATAAATCCACAGAGCAAAGCATGAAAAAGATACATTCTGAGCTGACACAGCTGAGTTGGGAAGAATCTGGGTTTTGTTGTTGTCTCCCCCTAGAGAACTTGCTTGAATATCAATCATTTCCCCTTATGCCAAGGGTAGGGAAAAAATAAACAAACAAACAAACACATACACAAACAAAAAACCAACCAACCAACCAAACAAACAAACAAAAAAAAATGACATAAATATGGTAATAACAACACCGTGAGGTGTTAGACCATCTAGGAGCATTATATTTTCCTTACAAAGAGAATCTCTTTCTCCCTCCCTTCCCCAATCCCTCCCCTCACTCTCCCTCTCTTTACACACACACACACACACACACACACACACACACACACACACACAGTCTCTTACTTTTAAGCAAAGATATACCATATCCATGATATGCCAAAGAAACCAGGTCATCTTTGGGATACAGACAGGTGTAAGATAAGGCAGTGAGACCAGAGTGTGATTTTTAAAATGAATATATATATATATATATATATATATATATATATATATATATATGAAAAATTAACCCTCTAATGCAAGTTTCCCAAAGAGCTAATGAAATGAAAGCAAAGCCTATACAATCTAGGTAGCCAATCTAGGCTTTTCCATGTGCACCTATCTCCAAGGTCCCCATTGGCTGGAGAAATTCTGAACCACTCCAGTAACACTAGCATCATGGGATTCCCAGTAGCCAAAGATACGTAACAATGAACATTGTCTTTTTTCTGGTGATCTTAGCTGACTCTGTGATACAGTCACTCCTTTCTCCTCATTAACATTATTAGGGATTTTGGGAAATAAACTCATTCTGGGCCTGTTATGACCTTTATGAATGGACCTCACAACCAGCTCTACAATACAGAAGTACAGAAGGGGCAATGGACTTTGTATTCCTTCATAACCACAGACCAAGATCTAGACACCTGAATTTGTGGTGGGGGTAGGAGCTCCATTCCTTTGGAGTTGGCTGAGGTTATGTTTTATATCCCAGCAGTGCAGGAGATCAGAGACACCTTGGTCTTCAAAATAGGAAGAAGCAACTTAAAGAGATACAACTTCAATTCCTCCTGATGGATCATTGCTATTTCTACAGTTAAGTTACCCCACAAAGGGCAATGTAGAGAGGTAAGATCCTTAGGTTAGCTTAGTTTTATGAAATAGGACTTACCAGTAAATTCACTATCTTGGAGGATATATGATGCTTTCAGCCAGGAGGATCCTTGCTGTAGGCTACTTTATTGTTTGAGGACTCCTGGTGTTGAAAAGATAGTAAGTCTTGAGAAAGGGCTAGTACTGAGATCTGGTCCTGGCTAGCTAACTTCATAAATAGCTAAAGACGTAGTCTTTCTTTAAGGACTATATATCTTCATTAGGGCAAAGGGGTCTTTTCTTTCAAACATTACATTGCTGTGCTTCCCCAAAGAGCCAAGCTTCTTCCCTGTGTGGTCCCTCTTGTTTGTGCCCCAATCTCCCCATCATTTGGAGAAACTTCCCCCAACTCCTTTCAGTGGAAGCCTTCTACCTTTGTCCATGATGCTTCTACTCCCTGTGTCTCTATAACCACATTGCTATGGAGCCTAATCTAAGCGAACAGTCTTTACCTGGTTTCTCATCCCCCACCCACATCCTACAGTATATATAACAAACTCAATCTATAACCCACTCAGGTCAGTTTCACCTTTTAGATGGGGCCTGCTCTCCTTTCCTATAGTCTGTCACTGATTGATTCTTCTAATAGAAAAAGAGTAAAAAAAAAAATGTAAGATCAATAATATACTGTTCCAACATACTGGTATCAAAGCCTCAGAGACTGTGGCCTCAATATGGGCATCTTTTCTGAGGCCTTGGGGACAGTTGCATGCTATACACTGTGACACACAGTGACCTCAGCATCTTGAGCCTGATTGTCCAGGGCCATGTTTAGGTCAGGTTACCCTACAGCTCCATAGGGACCAGATGGGTCCACCCAACCTGGGCTCCAGACTCAGACACACACTGAATCTACCCAAGGACACCAGAGGAACAATGAGGGACTTAGAAAAGGACAAGAGGGGAAAGCTGTGAGCACAGCAGCAAGCAGCATTCGGGGTTCCTGCAGGTCTTCCTTCTTCCCAGCAGCCAGGAGCTTCTTCTCTGATGGTCCTTCCTGTCCTCAGAAAGGCCCAGGAACAGGGGGGCTCCTTTGGCACTTCAGAATGATCACAAGTAATTTGCCTTTTTATTCATATAGAACAAAATTTACAAAGTCATTCATACAGTTTTTGTTGTTTTTTTTTGTTTGTTTTTGTTTTTGTTTTTTTTTTTTTTACTGACTTCGAAAATTGGGAATATTCAAAATACACTTTTACCCCACTCCATTCTGTCATTATTTACATTTATATACAAGAAAAATGAAAGAGTCTCTCTTTGTGTGTGTGTGTGTATGTGTGTGTGTGTGTGTGTGTGTGTGTGTGGTCTGTGTTGTCATTTTCTTGTATTAAAAAGCTCTGCTGGTCGGGTGGGTGGGAGGACGGGCAGGAGGGCAGGCGACAGTCAGATGGAGGTGCCATGAGAGGTGTCCAGAGCCTCTGGGAGGACACCTCCAGGCACGGGCTGAAAGGACATAGGGATGGGGGTCTTCACAGGGCTCTGTCGGAACAGTCCCCCATTGGGTGACCTGTGTTTGCACTGAATAGAGGGCATGGTGGCTGAGCTGCTCAGCGGCAGTGGCAGGTTGCTGCTGGGCCCTGATGACAGTGTCCGGCTGGTGCCATGGCTGCTTTGTTCAGGCAGAAAGGTGCTGACTGAGAGCTGGGTGTTCTGGTACTCCCTTGTTGGCTCCAAAGCTTGACTTGGAGCCAGGCCTCCCATCTCCAGGGCAGAGAGCTCAATGGACGCTGGGGAAATTTGCTTGTGAGCAATGTCTTCATCCATGAGGCTGTTTATGCGTCGGTGCACCTGCTCCAGATTCACCTCTTTGTCCTGGAGAGAAAGTACAGGAGGGTCAAAGGACATCCCAAGAGTGTGCTGAGGTCAGTTTTCTGCAAAATCTGGATACCTGGAGGAACCAGCTTGCCAGATACAGTATCCTCCATTGTTCCCACCTTCCCTCAATCAGATGGTCAACCCTTGACTATCTGGGGAATCCATACATAACAACACTAATCTTTCTAAAGCAGTGACCCTGAAAGCAGGCATCAGCAGCTCATTTCCTCCCCACTGTACTTATCTTAGCTTCCCTGAAACACCCAGGGACAAACCCATGGCTAGATGCTTTGAAGAACTGGTAGAAGTAGAAGGCGATAAATACAGTGCTGGGGAAATAGAGAAAATGGTCTTGGTCCCTTAACATGCCCCATGCATTTACAGTTGGAACTCATACCCCTCCAAAGCTTGATGCTGTCACCCCTGCTTTACACATAGAGGATCAGGTTCAGAATAATTCCACAACCCCATGAGTGTTAGAGGACCCAGACGTCCTATGTGGAAAAGCAACACTGTCCTACCTGGTAACCTAGTTTGTTTTTCTTTGTACAATCTCTAGTTCATTCCAGAGGGTAAGCATGTCACCATCTAGCTAATATGGCATGGGTGTTTAAGTGGTTAAGTTAAGAGGTAGTGAGATGTCAAGAGGGTTGAGGCTTCTCAAATGGGCAAACCTCATCCATGACCCTCACCACAGTGGGGAACATAACAGCAGATCTTGGGGTTGTTTATCTGCTGAAGAAAGAAAATAAAGACTGCTGTGATTCTTCTCAAGTAAAGTGATGCTATATCTTCAATGTTAGAATGAATCAAGGTAGTCGCTAAGCTTGAGAGCTCAAGGAATATATCACCTGCTCCCTCAGTTTCAACCCACACTCCAGTGAAGTGGACAAGTGTGCAGGAAAAGAGATATACCAGCTCCCAGATAAGGGTACTATTTGTGGCTCTGTGGATGCCAATGTTCCAGGAAAGATGGTGGCTTCAGCTGGCCCTTTCTGATGTCAGACTCCAAGAAAAAAATATGATGCCAAGGCTCATTTCTAAAATATAATCTCTCCAGTGGTCTAGTGTTCAAAGCATATGTCAGAGAGAGAGGGGGAACAGAACCTCTGTTTAGGTTGTAGGTATTTTAGAAATGCCAAGAGGTTGACATGAGAAGAAGGAGAAGGAGAAGGAGAAGAGGAGAAGAAGATGAAGAAGACAAAGAAGAAGGAGGAAGAGGAGGAGGAGAAGAAGAAGAAATCACCGTGCAAAGCAGAGGCTTTATAGTTGACTGCTTTGAGCTCCTATGGAAATAAGAGTCAGGGCTCCCCATTAGGAGGCCACTTGGAATCAGGAGCATAAGACCTCCTCCTTTTTGATGATGCCATTCACAAAGCCAATATTAGGAAGACTCAAGACCACATTTTTCAGGTGGGCAAACTACTAAAGTACCCTGTAATTCATTCTTTGACTCAACAGTCTCATGCTGTCTAAATGTCCATGAGTTCATAGGTGGCATACTGTGCTTGGCTTCTGGTTAATACATGTACAGCACTTTTCAGACCATCTCTCACAGCAAGGAAACTGACAGCTTCCATAAGAAAACGAGGAACTCATTTCAGGCCAGGAAGAAACAGAATAATAAAGGAGCACACTGGTTGAAGGGTGAGGGAACATTGTGGAAATTGGCTTGGCATCATAATGGAAATGGCATTGCAAGTAACTTCATAGCCATGTAAAAACACCCAGGATTTAAGTGATCAGAGACCTCCGAGAGGTATGACTTAGGTCATTTGTGCTGGGAAGCTGCTTCTGAGATCATGATACCTATAAGTAGCAAGTGCCATAGGAAAAATGGAGGGAAATCAGTGGGGATGTTATCCTATACATTGTCTAGCTCAATACCATTCATGAGATTTTTATTCTTTAGCTCCTTCCTATTTTTCAGGCATTGGAAATAAAGTTAGGATAAATTCCTGTAGAAGAATGCCCTAGGGATACAGGGATCTGAGTGTCTCTGATAGACAGAAAACAACACTGTCTACCCAGTGCCACAGAAACAAACATAGCTTGGTGTGGTGTCTCAACAAAAGTCCTGTGAAGAAAAACAGGAACAAGAGAAGGACTTTATCTGAATGTCTTCAGCATCGATATTCAAGGCACCAAATGAGAAGCAGTTGTGGTCTAGGGTGGAGGTAGGGCACACATAATAACCTTTTAATATAGCTGTAAGGTCAAGTATTATCACAGTATTAAAGACTAACCCAAGGAATGGGTATTTCACTCTTTTTTAATTTAAATTTTGAAAATTTCATGCAATATATTTTGATCATATTCTTCCCCCTCCTCCAACTCCTCCTAGATCTTACCCCAACTCACTCCTCACCCACCTTCATGCTCTATCTTAAAAACATATGAAAAGCAAAACCAGAATAAAACAAAGCATGAACACACACACACACACACACACACACACACACACACACACACACACACCACCACCACCACCACCAACAACAACAACAACAACAACAACAACAACAACAACAACAAAAATGTGGAGTGTAATTTTGTTGGCTGACTCTTCCTGTATATCTGATAGAAAGATCTTAAATAGTTTCTTAACCTAGAGTATTTTTCCCTGCCTCAAATTAAGGATGGATGAATCAGTTGTATGGAATGTAAAGCCATGCAGTGCAGATCAACTCCCAATTGTGGTTATCTATTAGCCTTTAACCTTTATCTGTCAGGATACACAGAAAATGTTCACACCAATTGAAGAAATGTTCCAGAGAGAACTTCCCATGCTAAATGGCTGTCAAGAATCCAACTTCCTGAAATCAGTTGGACCTCTCTTTCTATTCAAATCTCATTATTCCAGGAGCACCATGACCAAGAGAAACCCTGGGAGAGGAGGAGTCCAACAGGAGTATCCCATACAAGAAAATGAACAGAACTGGCATAAAAGCAGCCTGACCTGAATGCAGCCTATCTCAGTCTCAACATTCTTAAACTGCCTGCTTCTGCTGCTTAGTCTGAGAGCCAGAATTGAGGGGCAAGAAGCACAACTCCACCTTGTTTGGGGCCTTTGAAGGTTTGATCTCTTTTATTATCTGGGGCCACAGATTTAACACATGCAAGGTCATATCTGTTTGGATCTTATATGTCTCTGGCCGAGGAATGAAGAGAAAGAAGTAATCTGCTTAAGCAAGGGAAGTGGCCGGAGTGACTTGAATAATTATCCCTCTTTCAGACAAAATGATGCATTCTATAATGCTATGCAAATCAAATAACTTTTTTTTTAATGTGAACTACATCAGTTTACGTCCTCATTATCCTAAGGTTTCAGTGTTCAGCCGGGTAATGACAGCTGTGGAAAGAGACCTGGGAACTTATAGCTGCCTTATTAAACTACTGTAGTCCAACATCCTTGAATATGACATAAAATTCATTGATTGCATTTTTCCATGAATCGGCTGGATTGCAGCTCTGCATTCCTCATCCCATGTTAAGGATGAAGACAGATGCAGAAACAGAGGTTACCAGGGAACCTCTCTCAGGCATTTTCTAGCAGAGATAAAGTTCTGTAATTAAGCCGCTGTTCACCAATGTGGAAATAATACAGTGTATTGGAAAACGGTAATTAACTAAGCTATCATCTATGTAACAGCACGTTACACGTGGGACTCATTAGAACTGACTGTGTTTGGAATCCAACAGTTTCTACTTTAAGGTGGGCAGGAATAAAACCAGGGCTCAGGGACCTCCCATCTGACCTGGATGGTTGTTGAAAGCATTCTCCTGTTACCATTGAGACCCACCGGGTGGTAAATGGCACCGGATGGATGGGAAAGATGCCACCAACACAATCCTCTTAGAAGTAGCTAGAAATTGGGTTTGGGTCTCAGAGTTGTGATTAGGTGGAAACAAAAAGGCTGAATTTCAAGACAATGAAATAAGCTCAGGGGGTGATGAATCGCCTTTGAAGCACCTCCGGAGAGTGTCTGACCACCCTTCCTCTCAACTTTTTCTGGTCAGGGAAATGAGACACAACAAACAAACATCAGGTAGGAGCTGCAGGACCCAGGGGGATAAACGGAGACTAGCAGTGAAATGGCCAGCTCAAGGTGACACATGGAGAATGCAGTATTGAGACCAGTACTCTTCCTCACCTACATTCAACCCTGGGATTCTCTTCTACATTGACAGGCTCACCTTCTTCATCACAGAAGGTTCTTGTACACTTTGGTAGAATGATGTTGAAAGGTTTTAACCTTTGGCAAGATATCAGAAATGAATGTGGAGATTTTGTAAATTACAGTTTTCCAGATCCTCTTAATATGACCTTATGGAAACTGGGCTCAAGCATCTGCACTTCTCAAAAGCTCCAGAATTAATCATCTCTGTTACACAGCCAAAATTGAAAGTAATTGATCCAGCTGCAATGATTATACAACAATTTAACATTTGATAACATTTTCTTCATAGGAGCCCAGACTGGTTCATTCATTCAATAAATATGTTTGAGCTCCTATGACCAGATGAGCTAGTGTTCTTGGTAAAATATTCATCTTTGGGTTCCTGTCACATAGAAAATGTTCAAACCTCAATAGTATTCATTACCCCCGCATGAGAGCTCCTGTGTTCCAGAGAGTGGGCAAAGTGATTTAAATGCAGAGGTAAATATATACTGGAAGGCTTGAGGCAAAGAGAGGTAAAAAGTACCCACAACAAGGGAGATGGGCAGTGGTCACAGGCAGAGATAGCCTTGCCAGGGACCTGGTTCTAAAACATTTAGTGGTGTGTAAGTGTTCCATGCCTTCTCATTGGAAAGCCCTGTGATGGGGCCTCTTATTGGTTGATGAATAAAACATTGTTTGGCCAATAGAGGTAGGAAAACAGGCAGGACTAGGAGACTAGGAGAACTCTGAGAAAAGTAGGCAGTGAGGATCCAGAAGGGGATGCTATGTAGCTGGCAAAGGAGTAACAGGTCTGGGCATTCTCTGGTAAGCCAA